TTCAGCTTCCCTCATTCACCTTGGCTAATTCATCTTGTTACTTAAAAATGTTTCATTAATAATGAATTATCAATTATAAAAGTAACAAAATACTATTTATTACCTTGATTAATTACTGTAGTAAATAATTAATGTGTATTTTCATAATTAATTGCTACTTTGCGGCCATACAACGCCTAATCTATATTATGAGCAAAGTTACAGCACGTAGACATTGCTTATTGCTTAAATAAATTGAAAGCTTCCTAAATAAAATTAATATTGTGTGCAGTGAGTGTCAAACATCGGTCAGGTGGCGGCAGGTGGCCCGATTAAACTTAACACCAGTACTTAGTCAGCAGTCGCAAGCAGTCGTTTTTAGTGTAGATTAATTTTAAACAGACAAACAGGTTGAAACAGGAGGAATGGTTTTACCCATTGGCTGTATGCCTGTCTGATATCGTATCTCAATAATAAGGGTATAATAATGCTGCGGTTTGTATGTGCTAGGTACTAAGGACGTGGCAATTGAAATAAAAACTAGGTAATTAAAGGGTTATTACTGACACGGCTATCTGATGAATTTCATCATGTAATTTAAATTACACCCCAGTTCAGGGGTATCAGAAACCGCAAGAATATTTTATGCCATGTAAAAACAAATTCATTAAACTTATTCTAGTCTAGACTTCCTCGGTCTTATTCTAGTCTGTAGAAAAAATATATTTTTTTATTTGTCTAAGTACCTAGCTCAGTGCCGGATTAGCCACGTAGCAAGAGTAGCAAATGCTACGGGCCCCGCGAATTTGGGGGCCCCGCGCTCCAACGCCTGTCTGACCGAAATAAAAAAAGATTAATTTAGATAGGAGCGTAAAATATCTTGCATGCCTTAAACGCGAAGCGCTTAGGCTATGCTTTACTTTCACTTGAAAATCTAAAACTCTATTTCATCACGTTAAATCATAAAAATAAGTAGGTAGGTATTTTACGAACTTTTTAACGTGAATGTTCTAATGTTTAATTATAATCGATAAAACTCATTTATTTCTGTGAATAGGCTTAAAAAAAGCACTTTTACACGTCCCAGTATTAACCCTACCACTGCTTCAGGACAATAAATGGGCCAGTGCTGAGAAGAAGCAGCGCAAGAAACTCAGTCACTATTGTCAGCCTCTTTTTCAAAGGTTTACAGGCTTTAAAATGTACAAAGTTAACTATAAATATTTATGCGAGCTAGGCAGTAACGCATCCCAAACATTTTTATCTTTTAAATAATCATCGACTTTATAGTAGCCCTTTTTCATTAAGGTACTTTTAATATGTGCTTTGAATTTATGAATGGTCAATGGGTAGTTCTACAACAGTTTGTGGTAATTTATTAAAGAACGGCAAGTTTATTTTTGTTTCTTGTATTAAAGTTATGCAAATCGCTCTTTTTCGTGAATTGCTCTATATTTTTGCGAACATAATATAAAAGGTTTTCATAAATGAACTGTGAAACTACTGTCAGTATGTTAATTGATTTGGAGAACAGCCTAGGTGGCGAATTAGTGCAGTTTGCAGAGCTTCTGAAAACAGATTTCTTGACTTACTTGATCTTAAAACAGATGTGGCTACTCTTATTGACAGCAAGACACAGGAGCCTCTGGAGCAGCAATTTTATAAACTTTTAATAATTCTTTCGGATCGTGTTTTCCAAACTTAGAAATTGCCTTGCGCATTTACATGTCTCTCATGATCACTAACTGCAGTGGCAATCGTTCTTTTTCAACATTAAAACGTATTAAAAATTAATTAAGGAACACGATGGGACAAGAACGTCTTAATCATCTTACTTTGTTGAATATATTCGTAGAGCATGATTTGCTTAAAGAAGTTGATATTGAAAGTGTTATCTCTAAATTTCCCCACATTAAATCAAGAAAAGTTCATTTGTAACAGTTTTGTTTCATTTAATACCCTAAACTCTTAGATTAAATCTAAGCCTAAACTTGAGAACCTAAAGCAAACCAAGGGCCCCTTGATAGAAATTTGCTACAGGCCCCGCGCTGGCTTAATCCGGCACTGACCTAGCTCAGTTGGAAGAGTAGTCGCACGGCAAGCAAAAGGTCGTGGGTTCAATTCCCGCCTTAGGCAGTTCGATTTTTTAAGCTATTTATAATTTTCCAAGTAATTTATTTCATCGGAATTCTGGGCATAAAAATGCCCAAGTTCAAAAGTTCAGGTATTTCTATTTTTCTACGACATAAATACCTTAAGGTCTAAAGAATTCCATGCCTCGGAATCGTTCAAGCCATAGTTAATCAGTGTAGAACTTAATTCTAAAATATAATTTATATTTTATTCTCATAGCCGTTTATTGCTTCTAAGGCACACGTTTACAAAATTAAGAGAATATAGCCATCTAAATAAATTATCTGCCTGGATGCCCATGCATCCATAGTAACTTTCTAATATACTAAAATTAATGATGTATAATTATTAAAATGAAAAAACACGATTTAGTAGGTAACATACCGTCATACCTACAAATAATTGACTTTCGATAAGTATATCTACGAGTGATTAGGTCGCAAGTTTCCTTCCAACACTATCTCTGTATTTGTAGAGACGTTAACACCATAAAATTACTACGTTAAATCACGGATATTTTTACGGCAAAATGAACATCGTCCTAAAAAATTAAGTGACATTTCGTCAACCGCGACCTTATTATCCATACGCAGGTTGATTAGCGCCCACCCGATGTCGTGAACATTGGGTTAAAAACATCTATTTGAAGTGCTAAAGGCGTGAACTGCCACCCACCCAGGGGTGTTTAAATATAGAGCACGAAAGCGGGCCGAGCGATCCGTGTAGGTTTTCCACTAGATTAAACCCTTACATGCACCCTTGCTGATGCTAAGCTGTGCGCTCGGATCAGCCCGTGCGGGCAGGGGACCTTTTTGACGTGCCCCCATTTTGCGTGGATCGAATATTGACATTTACATGTAGAAGGTTTATAGATTTTAACCTGACTTTCATCAGCCTTACTCGTATTTTAATCATTATTGCTATACCTACCATGTTTTAGTTTTGTAACGGTGTTGGCGATGTAAAAGCTGAATAACAAAACTATTACATCACTCTTTCTTTGCCTCTAACATACAAAATTGCGCTATTTAGTCAGGCAATTCCAAATTGGAGTGGCAAAGGTACGAGTACGAAGTAGTTTTTATTTGCTACTTTTTGTCACGATAATGTTAGTAGTTATTAGTTTACAAAGGTTAGTCATATTTCATACATTTAGGTACCTACTTTACATATTTGACACCAGTTTCAACCATTTACTTAGTTATGTACATTATCGGAGAACTATTTTCCGTGAAAGTCAGCTAGACTATCAGGGATATTATCAATCCCTGAAATAGCTGAAACGGCTGATTAAAATTTCATTAATTCATGTTACAGTTACATGAATTTCATAGTTGTGAGTTGATTTTTGGACATGCTGCGAGTGGCGTCTGACCGTCGGGCACTCCAGCGAGAAGCTGCGCCTCTTAATATTGTAAACAACCGGCTCTACTACTGAAACAGTTTCGAATATTCAGCTCTGTACAGCTCTCTCATACTCCTAGAGACGCTGGCATGAGAGACAAAGACGTATAGAGTCGAAATATTGCAATCATTTAGCTAAGTAAACCCGGAGAGCGATTTCGATTGGTGGGCGGCACCGCGCACGCGTCGCACCATATGATCTTGCAACGACGTGCTAATATTTTATTTTCAAAACTTTACGTAACATTTTATCTCAAAAATACTACTTCGCGTGTTATATGTACGTGTAATATAATTACTAATTAAATGTTTTCAGCAAAACCAGCAATAATTATTAGTTGATAGCAGTTTAAGTCGACCCCTTCGTAGCACGCATAGCGCTACGACGTAGTCGAGCGTTACAGCCTCTAACTCAAGTAAAGATTGTTGATGATTGATCCGTTCGATATTACTCAGTTATGTAATATAAACATTACTACATTATAATGTCATATAATTTAAAAATGTATTACGATGTCAGAAACTCGGGTGCTTTGCATGATAATCTGCAAGTACATCTGCAATCATTAATTAAGTTGCAGATACAGCCCGTTTTACGGTAGCAAGAAATTCGTAGAGCCTTTTCAGAGCCCATTTTACAAGAAACCCAATCTCAAAGCACGAGATTCCATCTCCCGAGATGAAATCGATCCAGCGCTCGCACGCCACTCGTAGCGCGTTGGGTGTGCGCGCGGCGGGCGGCGGCGGGGGGGCGGCGGGGCGGGCGGGGGAGGGGCGGGCGCGTGCGCGGCGGCGTCGGGGCAGTGATGTTCTTGATACGGCAATTGCCGTAATATACGGCATTCAGGCATCTTAGGCACCATAAATACGGTATACGGCAGCACTTTCATTACCGTATCAAAATATACGGCAATTGATTAAAGTAGAGTTTTATGAGTTTTTCATTCATGAGTATGAGTAAACAAAAAAAAATATTTCGTCTAATGGAACGCACCAACTTGTAAACCATAGATGAAGTAGAAGCGCCACGAAAAGAAACGTCAACAGAATTCAACCAAATGCAACCTTATCTCCGAGATTTTAATGTCTAAATTCGTTTGTTCCTCATTTTGGTAGATTCTTCACTTTTATTCGGGTAGGTTCTATGACTAAACTTTTCAAAACCTTTAAAAGTGAAGAATGAAATAAGCAAGTTTAAAAGTAGTTTACGTATAGTACATAAGATCTCAACATTTTTTTAATTTAAACTTTCCAAATAAACATTTTGTACAATACGGCAATTTTTCTGAGGTTTCCTTAAATATCCGGCAATTTTAGAATTAGAATACGGCAACCCTAAATTTGTCAGGAACAACACTGCGTCGGGGCGCGGGCGGCAGACGCGCCGCGATGGTGGGCCGCGACAGCCGCTCGGAGAGCGCGGCGCGCCCCTGGGCGCCGCGGCATGAGTAGCGCGCCCGCCCGGCCCGGCCCGCGCGCCCGCCATGGCGCAGGCCGCGCCCGCGCCCCATCGCACCCACTCCTTCGCGAAGAAGACCTTCCACAAGCCCACGTACTGCCACCACTGCTCCGACCTGCTGTGGGGCCTCATCGGGCAGGGCTACGGCTGCGAAGGTACGCGTCGCGCATGCGCCCCGTGCGCGTCGATACCGGCTCCGCGCGCTCCGTCCGGCACGACCAGCGTTATGCAACGGGGCCCGGCGTCCGGCGTCCGGCGTCCGGCCCCGGGCGTGTCCGGCGGGTCGATACGCCCCCGGCGCCGCCTGCCGACCCTCGGCGCCCTGCACGCGCGCGCTGGCCGTGCCCGAGACGTGCACTTGAAATTTCAAGGACGCCGTCGCCGGCACGGCTGGTCACCCCACCTGGTGACGGGAGCCCCTTTAGAAGGATAGACCTGAAGCCGTGGCCGAACGGAAACCTATCTGGTAGTGTCGATGACGAGTCGTGGTCGTAAGGGTTCCAGCTGAAAAGTTTCCGTGGCGAAACGAGTGAACGTTTGAGAGCATATCGATCGATCTGTTTTGTAAGAGGTTTTTTCGTAGCGGCGGCGCGGGGCGGGGCGCGGCTGCATCCCTGTTTACTAAGGTACCTGCATGCCAAATTTCAAGCGTCTAACTTAAGCGGTTTAGATTTTTCATACAAAGGGATTTTCCCGCTAATTCCCGTTCCCGTGGGAATTCCTAAGTATACTATAACCTGCCCAGGAGTATGAAGAATAATTGTACCAAGTTTCGTCAAAATCCGTCAAGTAGTTTTTGTTTCTATAAGGAACATACAGACAGACAGACAGACAGACAGACAGACGGACAGACAGACAGACAAAAATTTTACTGATTGCATTTTTGGCATCAGTATCGATCACTAATCACCCCCTGATAGTTATTTTGAAAATATATTTCATGTACAGAATTGACCTCTCTACAGATTTATTATAAGTATAGATTAGTAGGGAGTTTAATGATAAACGTTCGAGTTGCATAATTGAATTAATTACCGGTGCACTCGGTCGAAACGTCAGATAAATCCAGGTAATAATTTAATGTTACCTATCCGCGTATCGCGTTAAAACCTGTTTAGATTAATTCAGTAGTAGGCATTATCTACTATATTCTAAACGTCAGCCACAATTTCTTTTCAATCCACTTAGCTGAGAGTGTTACTCCCTGAATACAGTCGGAACCAATTTACGCCGCAAAGAAATATAGGAAATGACTGAATCCCAGGAGTCCCTTAACTAGTGGTGTCAAACTATCGATATATGTATGTATCGATAGTTTGGGTTTCGAAGTCAAAGATCGAAATAGGGGAAAGTAGTACGAGATGATCCCCTTAAGCGGGAATCGCTGTAAAATACATATTTTTCAATGTAACGTAAGTGCGCCTATTAACGACCCCCCGAAATTTGTATTCTATTACCGCCCTATTTTTCTTTCCTTCATAAAATACATAATAACAGGTTCCAGAAAACACGTTACCTAAAAAATTTCTAGACATGTTTATTGACTATCAAAACGATTAAAGTTTGTGTTCGTAAATAACCAGTAAACGGAGTTATTTGACATTATATGGGACGCGCCCGCAACGGACGCACTTTTCATACTGACGCGCTCCCAGCTACTTAAGGTGCACCTTGTTATTAATTAGCGATTTTAACACATTTAAAATGAGTATACCAACATGTTTTTGCATAACAATATTAATTCGTACTTTAGTTTCCTTAATAAACCCTCAATATAGCCCTCTCACTGTATTTTTGTGGCTTAAATACAATTTTAAATAAGGGCGGTAATAGAAACACTTTTCATAATTTGGTTCCTAATAACGACCTATGGCGTTGTTAGAATTTTGATAAAGTTTTTTATTTTAGTATTTGTATCTTTAACTACGCATTTAACCTCCATTTTGTTGTCTTGATCGATTCATAAGAATATTTCACATAATTAAATCAATTAACGCCATACGTTAATTGTCATAGGTTTGGCATAAAACTGCAATGAACATTAAAGAATATCTCTAATAATGTATGACAATAGATTTTATAAAAACCTGTTAAATTCTAATTAGTACCTATTTGATATAAAATAAAACCTAATAAAAATGATACTTCACTGATCACATCTTCATTATAGTAGATATTTTAGCTGGTTACTGTTTTTTTTTACGGTCGCTAATAGAATAAAGTAATGTTCATACTTAATTCTATTACCGCCTCATAAGTATAACGCCATCTGCGAAGACTTATAAGCCTGTATTTTGTATATAACTAACATTTATGACATGACACCAAACCAATCATGCGTTATCACAACTACTATGTAACTTTTTAAGATCTTTTGAATAATAAAAAAAATATTTAAAATAATTATACAAACAGTGTCCATTGTTTAAATTAAAATACACAATTACACACAATTAAAATCAAAAACATAAGTCAAAAACTAATTGAAAATTTTAGTCAAATTAAAAATAAAAAAATAAATTAATATTTAATTTTATTAAAACTCAAATATAGTTTAAATAATGACCCCCACTACTCACTAGAACACCGGGTACCGCGTAATCAAGTATAATAGAGGAATTTATTATTCTACTATTTATGCTTGATTTATTTATTTATTTTCGAGAAACGTGCCTTTTCTCTTTTAATAATAAAAAAAATTAAAAAAGAAATTGTCTTAAAAAAAAAAACAAATTTAACTAAAACTAAAAGAAAAACAAATTTAACGTCAAAAAATCAAGTGGTTCCCGAGCCTCTGAGCGGGATTCGAACCCGCGCCTCTTGGAATATACCCAATTGAAGAGCAATATTCTTAGCGGTCGGTAATAGAAACAGAAAAAACGTTAATAGAAACACACCTCGTCTATAGGTCGGTAATAGAAACAACTGCTTTTTCAGATTAAATTGCTATTTATTAATTATTGTGTGATTGAATACTCATTTTTACTACTTGAATTCAAAGATTACTTCATCATTGTTATAAATAAATTAAAGTGTCTTTTCTATCACCACGTCTTTTAACTAATTTTCTAACGTTTATCCGAAGTGAGCTTAAACTGGCGGTAATAGGCGCATTTACGTTAATTCCTCCATTTAAGCTTGTGTCGTAGAAAATAACCCGTCAAACAACGATTCTATCGTTCGATTGAAGTTAGAAAACCGGCTTGCTATTTTTGTAATCGATCTTTTTTCTCGCTTGCATAAGTATTGCTTCACGCATAAAAACCATAGAGTAGCGATTGAACCCAGCACCTTCGGCAGGGCAGCGCCATTCCGGAGGAGTCCATATTCTTCGCGGTGAAGACGTGGAGCGGATTCCACGGCACCCGCGCGCGAGTGGTCAAGAAGACTTGGGGAAGATACGTCACGCATCTGCAGTTCTACAGCGATAAGGATGGTACGTCAAAAGATTTAACTGTAAGAATACATCTAGTAGCACAGCTAGTAGCCTCTAAGGCCATCAAAGACCTGTAGAAAGAAGATGAAGAAGTAAGATCTGAAAGAAAGCAGTTAGCATCGACAGCTTCAAGCTGCGACTGCATATCAAAACTACAAAGTCAAAGTCAAAGTCAAAATTTCTTTATTTGTTTGGACTAATAAATAGTTCTTACAAATCGTCATTTTGCTCTTAAGGAGCCTCTACATGTCTCATAATCTTCTTACCCTACCAGCGCTTCGAGACCAACATTTGGCAAGTGCTGAGAAGAAGCGCCGCAACAAACTCAGTCACCACTGTCTGCCGGTTAATATAAATAAATAGAAATAGTAGTAGTAGGTACATTCGATTCAGGAGCAGTTCACTGAATTTACCATGCATTCTTGTATGGTGTATCTTATAAGAATGGGTATACAAGTTTGCGTATACAGTACCTATTCTACGTAAACTATAGAGGCTGACAGTAGTGACTGAGTGTCTTGCGCTGCTTCCTTTTAGCACTGGCCCATTTATTGTCCTGAAGCAGTGGTAGGGTTAATATTGGGATGTGTAAAAGTGCTTTTTAAAAGCCTACAATATAGCCTATAAATAAATGTGTTTTATAAATATAAAACACATTCACGGAACCGCTCGAGCAGTTGTGGCTGCTTTGTGAGGTTGGCAGGACGGAAATTTCAATTTCCTAAAATAATAATTTTAATATCTTTTGTGATTTTGTTGCAATAATTTTTGTTTTTCTCGCATAGATCCGTCCCTGCCAGCCGTTGACACAGGGATACCAAACTCCAAGACCGGGCACTGCTTAAAAACAGTGGCCATCTTGAAGCAAGCGCTCAAGAGGGTGTACAAACTGCCGCATATCAAGTGGATATTCTTGGCGGATGACGACACGATTCTAGGGTAAGTTTATGTTTTTACTGCGTCACACCACACTTTATTAAGGCCNTTAATGTTAGGTGAACGCCTACGTATAATGTTTCGTACGCAACGCTACCGCTCCGTCAACAGAGTTACATTGTTTGGTATGTAAGCTGCAAGCAGACGTACACCAAGCGTGCATTATGCGTCTAAAGCTTGGTCTGTGAGCACGTAGAATTTTGTCCAATGACCCCAAGCTACCCATCCTTATCGCTCGCGCGTAATTATATTGCTGTCGCGACTGTGCGACGGACGTCCGCAGTGAGTGTGCGAGCGCGATAGCAACATAATTACGCGTGCTCGCAGACCAGACTATAGTACGTTATGAGTGACGCTAAATCATTTATTTATGTAAAGCTTAAATTGTGCCACTTTTGTTTCTTCCTGTGCTGCTTTTAGTCTTAAGTCTGCATATTTTCAGGGTCCAAAGACTATGTGAAGTGTTGAGTTGCTACCGTGGCGGTTCAGACATAACCATACTTGGGGAGAGGTATGGATACGGCTACGGGAAGAAAGAAACTGCTGCCAAGGGTATGTATTTTTAACTAACTGATAATTTCATAACTTATTTAGTTACAAATAAAGACTGGGGGGGGCATTGTTATAGGAGTTGGAATTCGAAATTTATTATCTTCGGGCTGCCATAAAACCGCCATTATATCGTTTCATTGAGACATATCGATTTTAGACGATAAGCCCAAGATTTGTCGTTTAAAATCGTCGATAAGAATTTATCATGGGGCGTATCCTTCGTGGCCTGACTAAATTAAAGTTTTATCAACTCATTACCCTCCTATTTAGGCTATGACTACATCACTGGCGGGGGCGGCACTGTCCTAAGCATCGGCGCAGCGCAAGAGTTATCTCAATGTGCCTGCACAGCGCTGACGGCTCCTGATGATATGACTCTGGGCGCCTGCGCCGCGCTGCGAAGAAACATCACCGCGACACATTCACCGCTTTTCCACCAGGTGCGTTTGTAGTGTAGACAGACCTTCCACTCGGTGGACCGACGATCTAAGCGTCGGCGCAGCGCAAGAATTATCACAATGCACATCACAATGCTGACGGCTCCTGATGATATGACGCTGGGCGCCTGCGCCGCGCTGCGAAGAAACATCACCGCCACGCACTCGCCGCTTTTCCACCAGGTAGTGTAGACAGGCCTTCTGCTCGGTGGACCGACGATCTAAGCGTCAAAACAGCGCAAGAGCTATCTCAATGCGCGTGCGCAGCGCTGCGCAGAAATATCACGGCCACACACTCACCCCTGTTCCACCAGGTAGAGTAGACAGGCCTCCCACTCGGTGGACCGATGATCTAAGCGTCGGTGACGCCTGGGCGCGTGCGCATTCACCGCTTTTCTACCAGGTGCGTTTGTAGTGTAGACAGGGCTTCTGCTCGGTGGACTGACGATCTAAGCGTCAACACAGCGCAAGAGCTGTCTCAAAAGCGCTGACGGCTCCTGATGATATGACGCTGGGCGCCTGCGCCGCGCTGCGAAGAAACATCACCGCGACACATTCACCGCTGTTCCACCAGGTAGTGTAGTCAGGCCTCCCACTCGGTGGACCGACGATCTAAGCGTCGCCGCAACGCTGACGGCGCCTGATGATATGACTCTGGGCGCGTGCGCCGCGCTGCGAAGAAACATCACGGCCACGCACTCACCCCTGTTCCACCAGGTAGTGTAGTCAGACCTCCAACTCGGTGGACCGACGATCTAAGCGTCGGCGCACCGCTGACGGCGCCTGATGATATGACGCTGGGCGCGTGCGCCGCGCTGCGAAGAAACATCACCGCCACGCACTTACCCCTGTTCCACCAAGTGCGTTTGTAGTGTAGACAGACCTCCCACTCGGTGGACCGATGATCTAAGCGTCAACGCAGCGTAAGAGCTGTCTCAATGCGTGTGCGTAGCACTGACGGCTCTCGACGACATGCCCAGGGGCGCGTGCGCCGCTCTATGCAAAAACATCACCGCTACGCACTTGCCGCTGTTCCACCAGCAGGCCTGCTACTTGATGGACTGACGACCTTAAACTAAAGATCACTGAAAGCGCCTGGATTTGGTCGTTGTAGAAATACGAGCGGGAGGCCTTGGTCCAGCCGTGGACGCTATTTGAGTGTTACGAATTCGTCTATATCTTGCCATGTCTAGATGTTCTTCCGACTGTCTTTAAAACTGTCAACCTCAGCCTAGAGAAGAGGTACCTGCCGACGTATTTCAAAGGCGAGACCGCAAGTCTACCACCGCTAGGTGCTAGCACGAATGACCTGTTTATTTTTTTTGCAACTCTGTCCCGTACACTGTATAACCAGAGTAAATACAAATGAGTAGGTCATCTTCATAGAAACGCACCGAGCGCGGTTTGTATGTGAGCGCACCAATATACGCATGCGGCGCGCACGCACACACTGACAAAATTTAGCGGGGATTAGCGGGGAGACAGTCGTGGTTGCGTTTTGGCGCGCTCACATACAAACCGCGCCCATGCGTTTCTATGAAAACGACCTACTCATTTGTATTTACTCTGGTATAACCCATAATAACCACTGCCAACGTATTTCAACCCCCCTATTCCAGGCGAGGCCTCAAGACTACCCGCGCGAGGTGTTAGCCCGGGATCGGCCTGTGTCCTTCCATAGACATTCCACGCCCGATCCTCTCCGAGTTTATGCGACCTGGTTCCAGCACGACGACCTGGCGCTGAAACGCTGGAGACGGGACGAGCTGTGAGAGAGAGAGGAGATATTATAAGATATGTAACTATGATGTCATATTATTATGTCTGAGACTTTAAAAACTTTAGGTAAAGCCCGGTCCGTGAGCACGTAGAATTTTGTCCAATGAGCCCTTGCTACCCATCCTTGTCGCTCGCGCGTAATTATATTGCTGTTGCGACTGTGCGACTGGCACCCGCAGTGAGTGTGCGAGCGCGATAGCAACATAATTACGCGCAAGCGATAAGAATGGGTAGCTTGGGGTCATTGGACAAAATTCTACGAGCTCACAGACCAGACTATAAAAAAAAAACAAAGAAGTGGGGAGGAAGTGAGTGAGGAAAATCTTTCCTATAGTCATGACGTCACGACGACGCCTAGGTTCGAGCTGAGACTTTGGTTTTATATAGCTACGACGTCATATTTCTGATTTCTTTTGTTTTGACTACCCGCGCGAGGTGTTAGCCCGAGATCGGCCTGTGTCCTTCCATAGACATTCCACGCCCGATCCTCTCCGAGTATAAGCGACCTGGTTCCAGCACGACGACCTGGCGCTGAAACGGTGGAGACGGGACGAGCTGTGAGAGAGAGAGGATATTATAAGATGTGTAACTATGATGTCATATTATTATGTCTAATGCCCATTTTCACCATCTATCCCTAATTGTCAAGTGACCCCTATGATAACACTTATCAGGAATTTTGTTTTCATAAGGGTCACTAAAATTTGGAATTGATGGTGAAAACGGACATGAGACTTAAAACTTTAGGTAAAAACACAAAACAGTGGGAGTGAAGTGGGGAAGTGAGAAAGGAAATCTTTCCTACAGTCATGACGTCATGTCTGAGCCTTTCTATGCTGTAGCTATGACGTCATTGTAGGTTCGATCTGAGAATTTGGTCATGTCTGAAACTTTTGTTTTAAAAACCGCTGACGTGGTAGAGAGGGGACGAATTTAGAGATTAAGGCTGGGTTGCAGTATCTTACTCTGACTTTGACAAACGTCAAAAATCTGTCAAACTCCATACAAAATGCACCGCTGATCGTTATATTTACCGCTAAAGTTAGATGGTGCAACCACAGTATATTGGTGCAACTCAGCCTAAGAAAAGGAATGTTTTCTGTAGCGCGACTCGTTATAAGATTTGATTTGATTGACAGCTGTCGATAAATTCACCGCTCTGGGTAATAAAAAAATATGAAGGAACATGACAAAAACTTATATTATTGCCAAGCACAAAGTAAAGGCCAATTTTGACAACCCCTGCGATTAGAAGATTGGAAAGCTTTTAGAGCTATGTTAAAAGTTATTGCGGGTTTACTAATTTGAATACTATAAATATAGTTATTTATCTGTGTTACTAAGGTAAACATTAGTAGTTATAAAAATAATAGTTTTTGATTTCGAAATTTTAATAAAAAAATCGGACATGGTTTTTTTAACTGATTTAAGATTTTTTAAATATGTATTTGGATTTTAACGTTAAACCTTTTAAGATGCTTATATCAAAAAAAGCTTTTACGTCTGAAAATGTAGAATTTAATAAAATAATGTTCTCTGTTATTCATAATTATGCATAAAAATACCATTAATTTTATTACATAATATTAATACGCTAGAACCGTATCGTGCGGCTTTAAATGTTACATTTAATAATACGTACTAGATTTATTTTAATTGTTTTAATTAAGAAAATAACTGATTAGTGATTACGTGCATTTATTTAGATAATAAAATATACTGTGTTAAGTTTAAGTAACGACATATCAGTTGACAAAATTAAAATTTAATATTTTTATATCGACGTGTTTTATTTCAAGTTTTGTTTTAACCATCACAAATTATTTAACCCTAAACTGCATAATATAATGGCGAATAAGTGGACATCAAAATAAACGAATGTACGAGATTATTCCCACCTCTCGTTCCCACCACTGCAACTCCTGTGTAGCCAGAACCTACAGCTTGACCGCCAATAAAAACCCAACCAGTGAAGGTCAAGTTTGTCCCGGGGGAAAGTTGAATGTCATTGGACCCGCCACGAAATTAATCAGAAAAACATAGGAGGAATTCGAATTTAAGGTTCGACTTCCCTCCATTGCAAAGCGAATGATAGGTGACAAACAAAGGATATGCCCCACGGACAATAAATATCAATTAAGGGGGCCTATCTTATGAGCAATTAGCTGCATAGCTGGATAATTCACGTAGTTGTAGACCAGTAGGTACGCGAATTACCAGACTGGGGGTCTGGTAATTCGCCAATATAAAATAGCACCATATTCCTACCTCCCTAGACAAAGTGACATTCTTGATAGATGCCATTTCGCGATCGCTTCACGGAGAGAAGTAGTTAACGAGTATGCCCAAAAAGGACAAAGCGAATTTCTTCTAAGGGGCAGGTAATCCAAAATTAGTATGGAAATCGGTCCCATTGACATAAATGCTAATACGTCTATGTATGTATAAATACACTAGCTATAGAAAATGAATATGCGGTACACCCCAAATTTGATTGCTTACGAACGTGTTCGCTAAGCCTCTTTAGCCCGAACAGAAATTAATTATTTCTCTCTTGTTCGCTAATGGACTTATTGAAAGCGTATGACTTGCGAGATAGGTTTAATAAACAAGCCCAAATTAACGGGGTTTGATTGAATGGTCCGAGGAAACACTAATTGCAGTTTGGAAGTTAAGTTGATCGGGAAATCCATAATAATGTATGTAAAAGCTAAGTTTGGACATTCAAACTCGATTCCAACTCAAAATCTTCTGAAGCTTCTTACTATAGGTTTAGTATCTGAGTATAGGAGCGATCCTGGAAGGTGATTTTGTGACGGTCAAACGTCAACGAGACTTTAGATTTGTATGACCTGTCACGTCATAATACGTCAATGTCACCCCTCCCATGCCGCTCCCAAACCTCAGGCACTGAGTTAACTGCTAGACCTAAACATACTTAAGTACTTTACTATCCTTTCTTTCATAAGAATCTAAATATAAATAACTCAAAGTAGACTGACTGACATAGTGATGTATCAACGCACAGCCCAAACAATTGGACGGATCGGGCTGAAATTTGGCATGCACCCAGATGTTATGACGTAGGCACCCGCTAAGAAAGGATTTTACGAAACTCCACCCCTAAGGGGGTAAAACGGGATCCACGCGTACGAAGTCGCGAGCGGCCGTTATTCGTTTCATAAAACGGGCGCTAACTCATGGACTAAAAATTGAAGCAAAACAAAAGTTGTTAGTTCTGAAGATTGCACAGGTTTTGCTCATAAATCCTGTATGAATGCAGAACGCGACGCAGAATTCGACGCATTCTAGTTTATAAACAAATAAATCATATTTGTATGTCCATTCTAGTCACGTGGCAGAGGATAATTTATCTTAGGTGAGATAATTCTAGAGAAAAATACTCTAAATTACTTTTTTATGCATAACAAGGCAGGTATTTGACCACAATCGCACCTGGTGGTAAGTGGGATGCAGTCTAGGATGGTACATAATATCTGCATATTATACCAATATGTACCTAGAGAAAATCGTAGATTTGAGCCGGATGATATTACTCTTAGGCTTGGTTGCACCATCTTACTTTAACTTTGACAAACGTCAAAAATCTATCAAACTCCATACAAAAAACACCGGTTAACGTTATAGTTACGGTCAAAGTTAGGTAGTGCAACTCAGCCTTAGAAAATTAAGGCCTAGCAAGGTTCCTAGTTAGTATCTACAAGTACCTATGTTATTGAAATATTGAGATAATAATGTTTATTAAAGAAAATTCGAACCCGACTGTTTTCCATTTCAGGTACTTTTTCAAAATTTGAGAAATAACCTACCTACAGTAGTGGTAGTTAGTAGTTCATACGACTACGCTTTACATAATTTTACTATCAATATTAGATTAAGGTGACGAAGCTAAACTTGCGGCTCTTTAAAGTGTCGATCAATAACGTCTGGTTACCACGGGCAAGTATAATAGGTCCCTCTTCTACAATTAATAACGAGCTTGTGATCCTCTTGCAAATATAATTTTAATCTCAACATCACACAGGTAATTACCTTACCTTGCTAAAATCCCTAGAACATAATTAATTACATGCCTAGGGGAAAATCGAGTATGTTGGATAGGCTGCTAAATTGGACCACGCACCCTAATATTTCGAATATTCTTGAAATGGCTGAAACGGCGACTCTCAGAGTGATACATAACTAACTACATTCTATTCAGTCGTATTGTTTTTGGTAATTTATTTATTTAAACTTCTGCACTGTAGTGTGGCGGACTTAATGCCGGGTAGCATTCTCTGCCAGTCAACCACGGGTCATGCAGAGAGAGGTATCATTGTATTGCCATTGTAGCCATTTATAGAAATATGAAGATATGGTACAATTTAGCAGCCGATTCAATTTACCCGACTTTACCCTGTTATCTGTGGTTATACGTTTACGTTCGAAAATTGAGTAAACATTTTAGTACCCGCGTACGGGATAACTTTTTTAAAGAGTATTTTGCGTAGCACCTATTACTATATTCTCGTTGACCTCTTCAGGNATGTTCCTGGTCAGGCTATACACTTTTTTTACTAAAAGAATGAAACGTAACGCATTGATCTGTCAAACGGAGACATTCAAAAGTGAGGTTATTTATTGCTCTGTGTACCAAAACAATGTAATTAATTTTAATAGAAGTTAATCAAAACTCAGTGAATCACTTACAATGACACAATCAAGTGACAAAGGAAATACTGTACACTTTGTAATATGTGACCTTACGGTCCGTTGGAATGTTTGTTTGTGGAAATCGGTAAGTATTCAATCTCGCCAAGAAAAAAAAAGTGTTACAGTTTGTTTCAACTACCTATTTTAAAGATTTTTGTCACTTTCTAAGTGTTGAATTTTATGGAATTGGGAAAGAAGTACCGAGTTTGAAGCGTTCATGAGCAGACATTGCAGTGGAATATTCAAGTTCTGAATTTGATTATTGATGATGAATAATAAAATAAATCCTACTAGCTCGATTGATGGTTTCATTTAATTTATTTAAACCAGGTTACCTATACAATCTTTATTCGTTAATTTATGAAAATATCAAATTAGGACGTAATCCTGAATCCTGATACATAAAGTTAGGCTATTAATTTAACACAGGTACGACTGTACTCAGTGTTGCACTATCAAATGCAATTGACGCGCCTCTATGCCAGGGTTTTTATGTTCCTGGTCAGGCTATAACTGTAATTTCACTAGAGCATATTAGAGTCTTGGACTACGAACAGGTTTCGACTTTGACTACTAACAAGTAATCTACTTTCTTTGGTCAGATTATTATTAACCCAAAGCTGCATTTTCAAGTGTCAAGCATCGCAGAAGCGGTAAACCTCATTTTTCCGTCTGATAGGTTACGACTACATCACGGGCGGGGGCGGCACTGTGCTAAGCATCGGCGCAGCGCAAGAGTTATCCCAATGTGCCTGCACAGCGCTGACGGCTCCTGATGATATGACTCTGGGCGCCTGCGCCTCGCTGCGAAGAAACATCACCGCGACACATTCACCGCTTTTCCACCAGGTACGTTTGTAGTGTAGACCTTCCACTCGGTGGACTGACGATCTAAGCACGGTCAGCATTAGAACTGTATAATGCGCGTGCGCAGCGCTGACGGCTCCTGATGATATGACGCTGGGCGCGTGCGCCGCGCTGCGAAGAAACATCACCGCCACGCACTTACCCCTGTTCCACCAGGTAGTGTAGTTAGACCTCCCACTCAGTGGACCGATGATCTAAGCGTCGGCGCAACGCTGACGGCTCCTGATGATATGACGCTGGGCGCTGCGCCGCGCTGCGAAGAAACATCACGGCCACGCACTCACCCCTGTTCCACCAGGTGCGTTGGTAGTGTAGGCAAGCCTTCCGCTCGGTGGACAGACGATCTAAGCGTCAACGCAGCGCAAGAGTTATCCCAATGTGCGTGCGCAGCGCTGACGGCTCCTGATGATATGACGCTGGGCGCCTGCGCCGCGCTGCGGAGAAACATCACCGCCACGCACTCGCCGCTGTTCCACCAGGTAGTGTAGTCAGGCCTCCCACTCAGTGGACCGACGATCTAAGCTAAAGGTCTCAGGAAATGCCTGGATGTGGCAAGATCGGCTGTTGTGGAAATCCGTCTGGGAGGCCTTTGTTCAGCAGTGGGCGGCATTTGGTTGAAACGAGCCTACGACTATGACCGTAGTCTATGTCATTCCTAGCAGTATCTAAAAAAATTCGTTTTCTTAGATATCCTTCGACTTGTATACTAAAGTGTTGTGTCCTGTCGTGATGGCTTCTGGCGTTCCCGCACTAAATGTATGAAAACTATTCCGTTCTGATGCGTCCCGACACAACACCTCAGACAAATATAAAGACTTAGGCTGGGTTGCACCATCTTACTTTGACTTTGAAAAACGTCAAAAATCTGTCAAACTCCATACAAAATGCACCGGTTATCGTCATAGTTACCGTTAAAGTTAGGTGGTGCCACTCAGTCGTATAGCTGTAGTAAAGGCTGTCAATGCCCTCACTACAGTCAAAGTATTTCAACCCCACTCTATTCCAGGCGAGGCCTCAAGACTACCCGCGCGAGGTGTTAGCTCGAGATCGGCCTGTGTCCTTCCATAGACATTCCACGCCCGACCCTCTCCGAGTATACGCGACTTGGTTCCAACACGACGACCTGGCGCTGAAACGCTGGAGACGGGACGAGCTGTGAGAGTGAGAGGAGATATTATAAGATATGTAACTATGATGTCACATTATTATGTCTGAAACTTTAGGTAAAGCCCGGTCCGTGAGCACGTAGAATTTTGTCCAATGACCCCTAGCTACCCATCCTTGTCGCTCGCGCGTAATTATATTTCTGTTGCGACTGTGCGACTGGCACCCGCAGTGAGTGTGCGAGCGCGATAGCAACATAATTACGCGCGAGCGATAAGATTGGGTAGCTTGGGGTCATTGGACAAAATTCTACGAGCTCACAGACCAGACTATAAAAAAAACAAAGAAGTGGGGAGGAAGTGAGAAAGGAAAAATCTTTCCTATAGTCATGACGTCACGACGACGCCTAGGTTCGAGCTGAGACTTTGGTTTTATATAGCTACGACGTCATATTTCTGATTTCTTTTGTTTTGACTACCCGCGCGAGGTGTTAGCCCGAGATCGGCCTGTGTCCTTCCATAGACATTCCACGCCCGACCCTCTACGAGTATATGCGACCTGGTTCCAGCACGACGACCTGGCGCTGAAACGCTGGAGACGGGACGAGCTGTGAGAGTGAGAGAGGAGATATTCTAAGATATGTAACTATGATATTCTTCTTCTTTTCGTGTCGACAACAAACCTACACAGTGTCAGCCCAAAACTCCGCCACAAGAGTGGCGTTGTCAGCAGCACTCATCAAGTCCTCCAGAGTGCAGTTGCTTGGGCACTCAGGGCACGACATCAGGTGCTTCATCGACTGGGGAACAAAACCTATGATGTAACTATGATGTCATGTTATTATGTCTAATGCCCGTTTTCACCATCAATCCCAAATTTTAAAGTGACCCCTATGGTATAACACTTATCAGGAATTTTGTTTTCATAAGGGTCACTTTGAAAACGGGTATGAGAACTTCAGGTAAAAGAAAACAAAGAAGTGGGAGTGAAGTGGGGAAGTGAGAAAGGAAATATTTCCTGTAGTCATGACGTCATGTCTGAGCCTTTCTATGCTGTAGCTATGACGTCATTGTTGGTTCGAGTTGAGACTTTGGTCATGTGTCATTCATGTCTGAAACTTTTGTTTTAAAAACCGCTGACGTGGTAGAGAGGGGACGAATTTAGAGAATAAGGCTGGGTTGCAGCATCTTACTCTGACTTTGACAAACGTCAAAAATCTGTCAAACTCCATACAAAATGCACCGCTGATCGTCATATTTACCGCTAAAGTTAGATGGTGCAACCACAGTATATTGGTGCAACTCAACCTAAGAAAAGGAATGTTTTCTGTAGCGCGACTCGTTATAAGATTTGATTTGATTGACAGCTGTCGATAAATTCACCACTCTGGGTAATAATGGATTAACAAAAAATATGAAGGAACATGACAAAAAATGTTATTGCCAAGCACAAAGTAAAGGCCAATTTTGACAAAGCTTTTAGAGCTGTGTTAAAAGTTATTGCGGGCTTACTAATTTGGATACTATTAATATAGTTTTCTATCTGTGTTACTAAGGTATAAATTAGTTGTTATAAAAATAATAGATTTTGATTTCGAAATTTTAATAAAAAATCGAACATGGTTTTAACAGATTTAAGATTTTTTAAATATTTGGATTTTAATGTTAAACCTTTAATTAAGATGCCTATATCAAAAAAAGCTTTTACGTCTGAAAATGTAGAATTTAATAAAACAAACTTCTCTATTATTAATAATTATGCATAAAAATACCATTAATTTTATTACATAATATGCTAGAACCGTGTCGTGCGGCTTTAAATGTTACAATTAATAAAATATAATAATACATACTAGATTTATTTTAATTGTTTTAATTAAGAAAATAACTGATTAGTGATTACGTGCATTTATTTAGATAATAAAATATACTGTGTTAAGTTTAAGTAACGACATATCAGTTAACAAAATTAAAATTTAATATTTTTATATCGACGTGTTTTATTTCAAGTATTGTTTTAACCATCACAAATTATTTAACCCTAAACTGCAGAGTATAATGGCGAATAGATATCAAAATAAACAAATGTACGGGACTATTCTCACCTCTAGTTCCCACCGCTGCAACTCCTGTGTAGCCAGGATCTACAGCTTGACCGCAAATAAAAACCCAACCAGCGAAGGCCATGTTTGTCCCGGGGGAAAGTTAAACTGTCATTGGATCCGCAACGAAATTAATCAGAAAACATAGGAGTAGTTCGAAATTAAGGTTCAACTTCCCTCTATTGCAAAGCTAATGAAAAGTGACAAAAAAGGTTTCCTAACCTTTAAGAAAAGATATGCACCACGGACAATAAATATCAATTAAGGGGGCCTATCTTATGAGCAATTTGCATAGCTGGATAATTCACGTAGTTGTAGACCAGTAGGTACGCGAATTACCAGACCCCCACGTCAATATAAAATAGCACCATATTCCTACCTCCCTAGACAAAGTTACATTCGTGATAGATGCCATTTTGCGATCGCTTCACGGAGCGAAGTCGAAGTAGTTAACGAGTATGCCCAAAAAGGAAAAAGCGATAAGATTATAAAACTAGAACTGTCACGTTCTCTCTTTTCTAAGGGGTTGGTAATCCAAAATGTGTAGAAATCGGTCCCACTGACATAAATGCTAATACGTCTATGTATGTATAAATACACTAGCTATAGAAAATGAATATGCGGTACGCCCCAAATTTGATTGCTTACGAACGTGTTCGCTAAGCCTCTTTAGCCCGAACAGAAATTAATTATTTCTCTCTTGTTCGCTAATGGACTTATTGAAAGCGTATGACTTGCGAGATAGGTTTAATAAACAAGCCCAAATTAACGGGGTTTGATTGAATGGTCCGAGGAAACACTAATTGCAGTTTGGAAGTTAAGTTGATCGGGAAATCCATATTAATGTATGGAAAAGCAAAGTTGGAACAATCAAAACTCGATTCCAACTCAAAATCTTCTGAAGCTTCTTACTATAGGTTTAGTGTCTGAGTATAGGAGCGACACTGGAAGGTGATTTTGTGACGGTCAAACGTCAACGAGACTAGATTTGTATGCCCTGTCACGTCATAATACGTCAATGTCACCCCTCCCATGCCGCTCCCAAACCTCAGGCACTGACTGAGTTAACCGCTAAACCTAAACATACTTACTATCCTTTCTTTCATAAGAATCTAAATATAAATAACTTAAAGGTGACTGCCTGACTGACATAGTGCATCAACGCACAGCCCAAACCACTGGACGGATCGGGCTGAAATTTGGCATGCAGGTAACATAGATGTTATGACGTAGGCACCCGCTAAGAAAAGATTTTACGAAACTCCACCCCTAAGGGGGTAAAACGGGATCCACGCGTACGAAGTCGCGAGCGGCCGTTATTCGTTTCATAAAACGGGCGCTAACTCATGGACTAAAAATTGAAGCAAAGCAAACCAAAGTTTTTAGTTATGAAGATTGCACAGGTTTTGCTCATAAATCCTGTATGTATGCAGAACGCGACGCAGAATTAGATGCATTCTAATTTATAAACAAATAAATCATATTTGTATGTCCATTCTAGTCACGTGGCAGAGGATAATTTATCTTAGGTGAGATAATTCTAGAGAAAAATACTCTAAATTACTTTTTTATGCATAACAAGGCAGGTATTTGACCACAATCGCACCTGGTGTTAAGTGGGATGCAGTCTAGGATGGTACATATCTGCATATACCTATACGAAGAGAAAATTGTAGATTTAAACCGGATGATATTACTCTTAGGCTGGGTTGCACCATCTTACTTTAACTTTGACAAACGTCAAAATTCTGTCAAACTCCATACAAAAAACACCGGTTATAGTTACGGTCAAAGTTAGGTGGTGCAACTCAGCCTTAGAAAATTAAGGCCTAGCCAGGTTCCTAGTTAGTATCTACAAGTACCTATGTTATTGAAATATTGAGATAATAATGTTTATTAAAGAAAATTCGAACCCGACTGTTTTCCATTTCATGAAATACGGGAGACAATTTTCATGGGACGGTAGCCAGGTACTTTTTAATTTGAGACATAACCTACCTACAGTAGTGGTAGTTAGTAGTTCATACGACTACGCTTTACATAATACTATCAATATTAGATTGAGGTGACGAAGCCAAATTTGCGGCTCTTTAAAGTGTCGATCAATAACGTCTGGTTACCACGGGCAAGTATAATAGGTCCCTCTTCTACAATTAATAACGAGCTTGTGATCCTCTTGCAAATATAATTTTAATCTCAACATCACACAGGTAATTACCTTACCTTGCTAAAATCCCTAGAACATAATTAATTACATGCCTAGGGGAAAATCGAGTATGTTGGATAGGCTGCTAAATTGGACCACGCACCCTAATATTTCGAATATTCTTGAAATGGCTGAAACGGCGACTCTCAGAGTGATACATAACTAACTACATTGTATTCAGTCGTATTGTTTTTGGTAATTTATTTATTTAAACTTCTGCACTGTAGTGTGGCGGACTTAATGCCGGGTAGCATTCTCTGCCAGTCAACCACGGGTCATGCAGAGAGAGGTATCATTGTGTTGCCATTGTAGCCATTTATAGAAATATGAAGATATGGTACAATTTAGCAGCCGATTCAATTTACCCGACTTTACCCTATTATCTGTGGTTATACGTTTACTTTCGAAGATTGAGTAAACATTTTAGTACCCGCGTACGGGATAACTTTTTTAAAGAGTATTTTGCGTAGCACCTATTACTATATTCTCGTTGAACTCTTCAGGCAAGCAAGCTAAATAATATGAGTAGATAGGTAAGTACACTTGACTTAGGGAGTGGGTTCACTACCAATAGTCATCAAATCTAATTAAGTTGCCTTCAGGTTTTGAAGTTTGAAACTTTGAACGCTAGTAAAATTTAACCAAATGTCTAATTACTATACATTTAAGGTTGAAAGTTTAATGAAAACTTTTTATGGGCATCATCGGTTTGTTATGGGGAGTTCATGTTGCATTACAGAGCCCAAAACAATTAAGAAACCGCAAACATTTTC